GAGCTTCGCCATTGGCAATGGAAGAAGAAGATTCATTGTGGGTGAAACTTTGATTATTTATGTTTTTGAATCTTGTATTTCGTCTGTGCCACGTCAGTAACATATGAATAATTGGTGCCAAATGCTTCTCCCAAGAGATAACAACATGCTTGGTACAATACAGTATAATTCATTAAAAACACTCAATAATAGAAGTAATCAAGGAGGAGACGTGGGTCACATGATTGTGATATCAAATATTGACACGAGGATAAGAAGATTCTTGTGGTTATAATATTGGCAGGTATGACAAACTGACAAACCAATAACAAGCAAACCCATAAACTCTCATCGAAAGATTCAAAAACCTATCAACAGTCTCATCACGAGGTTTTGATTATACAATATGCCTCTAATTAGTTGTTTGGTTAGAGAAGAAGAACAAGGTTACATAAGAGTTTAAGCAGCCCATGGTATGAATCCCATGGCGCAACTGAGCCTGAAAGTGACGAATATCAAGTATAGAGCAATGAGTCCAATACCTAAGGTTTTGTTAGGTTGCATTTCGTTGCGCGGGAGCATCACCATAGCCCAAACCAAACCGAGTACTAGAAACCCAAGAGTGTAGAACAGGCTTTTGTCTTGTGGTAGCATGTATGTGTCTGGACTCTTGGACCATGCGCCGAGAAGCATTGACATACCTAGCCCGACGAGTGTGTTGAACATTGGACCTGCATAGCATCCAGATAAAGCGATTTGTACACCATCCCCACCGTTCATCGACAATGCGATGTTTGACACTAAGTCACCCATTGAGTTTCCCCAAGCTAGTACCGTTAGCGCAAGTATCGACGGGTTGATTCCGTAGATCTCACCAAATGTCACCAGAAGAGCAACTAGTTCGTTTGCAATCATGTAGAACCATACAATGCTCATGATAAACCCACCAAGAACCCAAGGAATCAAGAATCTTCGAGGTGGGTGATCGGGTTCTGTGTTTTTGTAAGCAAGAAAACCAAAAGTAGAGCCCATAGCAATGCCGATAAAGTAAGCCACACCACAAGCTTGAGGACTCACATCGTCTTGGCTACTCCAGATAGATGCCAAAAGGACTGGCGCTAATGAAACGCTGGCCACAGCATATGTCTTTGACCAAGTATCTTCCTCGACCGATGGAATCGTTAACCTCCTTGGAATCGTCAATGGAATTTCCAACAAGGAAGTGAATTTAGTACATAAGGAGCTCTCAACTTCTTCACTGTCATCAAGCCATCCCCAAGGTGGCCTGTCTTCATCTTGTACACTAACTTTCGCGAAATGGTTTGAATAGATGGCCACATTGGAAGCCCACATCCACTGAGGAAGAGAGTTTTGTAGGCGAGGTGGACCATCCTCAGTGTCACTTTCGATCAAGGGGCTATTCATTGGAATATCCTCTTCAACACTCGGGGAAAAAACACTTCCTTGCCTAGGTAGCAAAGGAGTAATAGCGTCTAGTTTAAACCGCTTAGCATGTTTTCTCAGAATCACATTCGCTGCCACGAGGAACGCATAAACCACATATATCGAGACAAACGCGATGGCAATACCTACTGTCACTTTACCGACCATCAAAATCACCAGCAAGGACACAAGCGTGAAAAGGAAGAAACTCAAGTCTCTGATGAAACATTCCTTATCGATCTTGACTTCTTTATCCGCAACACAGAGCGAAACAATCCCAACAACAACCGAAGTAACAAATACCGCACCACCCAAGACGCTGTTAAGACCCACTTCTCCTTTATCTGTACCAACAAAGGCAGCTATACTCGAAAACACATCTGGTGCTCCATTCCCAAGTGGAAGCAAAGTAACACCAGCAACAGTTGGAGGTAGCCTCAAAAGCTTTGAGAGCTTCTCTAACGAACAACAAAAGTAATCTGCAGCAGTATTACCCAACAGATAAAACAATGCAACAAGCCAAACACCCAACATCATGTAACCCAAGATCCTGAAATCTCTGCAGGAGCAGTAAAAGAAGCTAAGGTAATCAAAGAATCCATCAGGGGAACAAATTGGGTTTGCGCTTAAGAACTCGCATTGATCAGCGTAACCCATATGATTGTGTAACCCCGAGCATAATACAGTACTACTGCTACTCAAGCTGTTGTTACCAGAACCATTGATTAACTTCGAAACATTTGTGTCAGCTTCTTCGCTCATATGTCGACGAACTAGCGTGAATTGGCTGAAACCATTGTTGAATTTACCACCATCGACGAAAGACGCTTTCCTTAACAAAAGGTTCCTGAGTATATCGCTCCGATCA